ACTGTATGTTCCCTTGGGATGGCTTTTAGGAGGTTGTAGCTCTCTCTCTCTTTTATTTTTTTGTTAATCCTCACTTGAGGATATTTTTCTTTTAGTTTTTAGCTAGAGTGGAAGGTAGGAGAGGAGAGGAGAGGAGAGGAGAGGAGAGGAGAGGAGAGGAGAGGAGAGGAGAGGAGAGGAGAGGAGAGGAGAGGAGAGGAGAGGAGAGGAGAGGACAGAGAGAGAGAGAGAGAGAGAGAGAGGCACATTGATTGGTTGCCTCCCAAACAATCCCACCCAGGGCCGGGGATCGAACCTGTAACTCAGGTATGTGTCCTTGACTGGGAATTGAACCCAAGACCCTTCAGTCCATGGGCTGATGCTCTAACCGCTGAGGCAAACAGGCCAGGGCAGGAGGTTATCTGTTGATGCACCTTACAAGGGTGAGTAGGAATGAGTTATGTGAAGATGTGGACAGGGGAAGAGAGCATGTGCAGTGGCCACCAGGTAGTCAAGGCCTGTGTGATTGAAGGGTGTATGGAGCAAGGAAGGGGTGAGGCATGGATGAGACTGGTGAATGCAGCAGAGGCCAGGTCACAGGGACATGATTAAGGACCATGCAAGCCACTTTAAACTGTGGGGATAAAGATCTTTAGAGAATAAGATTGTATTGACAGGTATTAAGCAGGGTAAAACCTGATTGCGTTCCCATTTTAGAAGACGTCACTCTAGCCACTGTGTGAGAATGAATTGGAGTAAGGGTGGAGGCCAGAGACCAGTTAGGAAGCTGTGTCACCACTTCTACAGAGAAATGATGGTAGCGTTGACAGGGTAGTTGTCATGGAGATTGAGAGGAAAAAACAACTATGAAAGGTATTTACGTATACAAGTATACAGATGCTGTAGAGTGTAACTGAACATGCCAGGGGCGTCTGGGAAGCTTAACGGAAGTGACATTAGTCCAATCTTGAACGATGAGAACAAATTCCTTGTAGTGGTATAGTTCATTACTTAGATTCATTGCTAAAATATGTAAATTATAAATGATCACTACCTTTTTATTAGTACTCTTCTCAGAATCTGTAAAAAATGTCACATAATTTGTTCTTATTTTTCCAATAGTGTTACTGTGCTAGAATATAATAAATCAGCATTTCCTGAGAACCATTTTACAATTCAGCCTTATATTAGTTCAGAATAATCCCCTCTCCTCAACACCCACCAAAATACAAGTATATTAGTGAGAATTTGGGACATTTTAAAGCTTTTATTTATTTATTTTTACTTCCTATTAAATTCTATGTCCATGTTAAATCTCTTTTTGTAATTAGGCATGTATTCTTTCTCACTTTTAATTTCTTCTTCCTTTGCCTCCAAAGATCTATGGTTAAATTGGTTTAAGTATTTTGGAAATACATTTAGAGCCTGAAATACTTTAAATATTCTTGGTTCTCTCTCATTTTGAAAGATAAATGTGATTGGATCTGGAGATTGCCGAGGCTGAAGATTATTAGATGTACACGAATATTAATTTGTTAGCATTTATAACATCTCTAGTCTTTGCAGTCACAGGAATAGACTATCTACAATTTTCAAATCATGATACATTGTATCTAATACTTTATATCATTGCGTGATTATTTAACACATTACTTATGGATGCTAAAGGGCTTCTGCTATCCAGTTATCCTTTAGCAAGCGCTACTTAGCTCTTCTTCATAATTAATATTTTCATTTCCCATAGCAGAGAGAGCCTGAGGAAATTTTATCTGAAAAAAAATGTCTGTATAGTGCTTTAGTGCGGTAGAATATATTTAGTAAATCATTATTGCTATTTAATTTTAAACAAATCAAGCCAGGATATTTATTTCAAGCTTCTGCTTTAAAATTATTGGTTGCTTTATGGAGACAGTAGCAGGTCAAAGAGAGGCCAGTAAGATCTATCCCATCTAGGCATTGCCCTGTGTACCATCTGCCCATGTTAAATCATAATGATAAGTGAGATATCTACTTGTGCACCACTAATTTTTGTTTTGCCAGAATTTCATGTCATCTCATGGTCATTACAATTGTCCAATTATGGTTGATCAAATTGAATTACCTTTAATTAGTAGGTCTGTCTCATAGTACAATGGGGTAGTTGGACATTTTATCTGTTTAAGTGGTCTGTCTTCAGACGTGGAAAACCAAACGTCATCTTTAAAAAGAAAAAAAAAATTAGAGGGGGAGGATAGGGGTCTGGAATTATTTGACATATATTACAGTGAAAGAATAATTTCTATATAGTCTTATAATGAATGTAGTAAAAGTTTGCTGTGCTCTTTAAAATCCTTTAAGGACAGTAATATAAGTTACACAACAAGTTTATCAATACAAGAATGACATGAGGTTATTAAAGTAGGAATTCTGTTGTCCTTGTGTTAAGAAGAAATAGCTCATTAATAATAACCCATTCAGCCCTGGCTAGTGGCTCAGTTCATTGGAACGTCATCATCCCATATACAAAAGGTGACGGGTTTGATTTCCTGTCAGGGCACACATCTAGGATGCAGGTTTGATCCCTGGTTGGGGTAAGAGAGGCAACTGATCAATGTTTCTCTCTCACATCAATATTTCTCTCTCTCCTCCTTCCTCTTTCTCTAAAAATCGATAAAGCATATTCTTGGGTGAGAATGAAAAATAATTAATGACCCATTCATAAGAGATTTAGGTCCCTATGAAGATTTGTAATATCTTTGAGTAGTGCCCACCGAAGAAATGTTCTGTCTTGACTACAGGTTGCACACACCATTACAAAATTACAGTGGAGTCACATTGTCTTACTCCTGTGCAGATTAATTCTTACACTTGAGAGGTAAATTGATGAGAATACGTATTCCCTGAAGATGCCAGTGGGCTTTTGAACAATGACATCTGCATGAAAAACTGGAGAAGCATTTATTAGAGATATTGGAAAGGGCCAAACGTATCCCTCCCTGACATTCGCATTTGGGGCTGATGGTATTGCCCTATCACATCAAGTCCTACTGTATAGCCATGTGTCATGGTGACATCAGACAGTTATGAAGTTCTCTAGGGCTTCATTTGATCTAGAAGTTATTTCAAGCATTATCCAATGATTCAGCCTAAAAAATGAAAGAGAGAGGGAGGGGGAGAGAGATGATTTTCTTCCATTTTCCCCACTTAGTATCACATAATGATCTATTTGCCTCAATTTTACCATTTTTAAGTATTGATCTTGACTCCTTGATTTCCTTTCAGAAAAAAAGACCATTAATGCCACCATATTTCTTCCCAATAGTTCAAGTCTTTATTATTTTTTTCCTTGGGTCAAATTTCTTTAACACCTCAAAAGCAGCACTGCAGTTAACCTTAATGGAAGAGCTTAGGTTTCTGGAGCATTGCTGAATTAAATATTGTTTTCAAAAAAATGTTGTTCAACTCCTTTATCCCTCTATCTTTTCTTCTATTTATACATCTGCCCAACCCTCCATATATTCATCCAAAAAATGTATTTATAAGCCTGTTTTGTGCTGGGCAGTTAGTGTGTTAGGTGCTTGGAAAAAAGGGTCAGTAATGGACCAGGGCCTGCCTTTTGAACTTATTCATATAGATGATGATTAAATAGCAAAAATGTTTTGAATGCCTCTGTGCCAGGCAAGGTACTAATGTCAACCTTTTGTGTAGAATTTGGAAAAGAACCCTTTTGTGGAGATACACAGAAAGAGAAGATCCTGCTTCTTTCATTCGGGACTTTTATATATAACAATGATTTATCTAGCAAATCCCAGTGTTGAAATGTAGACTATGTTATAATCCTGGCCTTTGACATAATAACCTTACCAACTTAGTCAGAAATGAGGTCTACACTACTTTGGCCCCTGGTCAATCCACTGAGATGGTAGGTCTGATGGTGTCTAATGGTCTGTAGATAAAATTATTGTATCATAGGATTATATCATTGTTTGGTGCTGCCTGGATGGCAGCTTGCTTCCTAGTCAAACCAAAATTATTTTCTTAAGGATACGGGATATGGATAGACATTTATGCTGCAGGTGGGGAAAGTTTCAAAGAGAATAAAAATTCAAAATGCCTTTTATCTTCCTGGAAATACTATGGATGGCTTCTGTGACCATACTGAAATTGTAAAACAATCATGTCCTCTCTAGAAAGCAACTGCTTTAAATTGGATAGATTTCACTTATTTTTCAGTGAAAGAATTTGAAAATTCTGTCTTTGGAAACCAAAATACTGGATGGCAGAGTTGGACGTGTCTTTCACTTTAAAATGCAGACTTTCTCTGTGGTGAATGTATTTGTTGTGGTAAAGTGTTTGAAAGGAAATCCTCAGAATAATTTTGGGTAAGGAAAAACTGTATTAAATTAAGCCAACCCACCAGTTTTGAACTTTAAAAATCACTTTATTTTAAATCAGAAAGAATTAATAATCGTGCATAGCATCAAGAATTTATGCTTACATTGCAATGTATAGTCATGTTCTAAAGCACATTAAACTTCCAAATTTTAAAGGACGCCAGCATGCAGTGACCTCAGTGATTTTTCTAAATGAATCGAGCTTCTTTAGAGTTAATATTGATGTTCTTATTTGGTTACCTCATGATTCGGTCTGTCTTGGCAAATATCTCTCTAGATAAGTGATTCCTGTAAATGTTGGAAATTCCTTGACAGGTTAACTTTCCCATCATTTTAAATTGCTTATGCTATATTGTTTCAGCCTAGATGCATTCTTTCTGGAAAGAAGGGTCCTGCTAGTCTGATAAGAAATTCTCTTTCCTGAAGTCTGTATTTTGTGTGGGGATCAGCCAGGAGAGGGAAAAGCCAGAATGCCAAATTGCAGAGAGTATTCTTTACTGTGGGGCTCCATCCAAAAAGGGCTTGTAACACAGTGTACAGTCTTGTAGCCCAGCTGTGTGGAGCATTGATTGCTTCTGCCTAGAGCAGGGATACTGTCAAGTTGCTCTGTGAGTTGAGTCATCTATTGACAAAGAGCTACCAGCTCGCAGATAATGCTGTGCGGAGCTGCTCTCGCTGCTCCCACTGCTCCCACGATGCACTGCTTATAGCAGCTGTCAAAGATACTGAGGGATCCACGCGCGAGAAAAAAGACTTTTACAACAGCCTGGAAGAAAGTGGTGTGAGGGAGGAGACATTCCTGTGCAGAGCTGACCAAAGGAAAGAGTAGGCATCAGTGCAATATGAATGCATACCTCACCAAGCAACACAGCTGCAGCCGGGGGTCTGATGGGATGGATGCCGGCAGGAGTGCACCCACACTGATCAGGGATGCCCACTGCGCTTGTGGCTGGCAGAGGAGCCCTCAGGGGCTTGGGTACAATTCTCAGACCATGCCCTCTTCAGGACCTGGGGGCCCAGCTTCAAACAGGACCAAGCTGGTCACCTTGTGGGACAGTGTGCGGAAAAGTCCCCACAAGACGAGCACCAAGGGCAAAGGGACCTGTGGGGAGCACTGTGCCTGCCCACATGGTTGGTTCAGCCCAGCACAGGTGAGACTTTTCCTTATGACTTTCCCTTGAGTATTGAAAGAAACTGAGAGCAACTTGTGTAAGGTTAGGATGGTTTGGAAACTTTGCTGAGTCTTCCTTGCTGGCTGGGTTTGTTTGTTTATAACATGGTAGGCCAAGAAAACCTGTCATTTTCACAGGTTTTGTGGGTTCACACCTCTGGGTGGCTTGTAAAAGTCCAGGGATGCTATGCTTAGTTTCTTTTAGTGACTTTTTCCCAAGTTCTAACTTTTCTAGTCCTCAGATGATTTTACTATTCTGCATCATAGTTTCTTAGCTGCACTTTTACTTGTAATCATTGTTAACTTTTTTATTCTGCCTAACTGAGGGTTTTTCTGTTTGTTTGTTTGTTTGTTTTTATTTTAAGGAAGAAAAAGAACTTTAATCAGATACTTTCCATCTCTTTAAAGAAAAAAGATCATAGATTTCTTCAGTTGTGGAAAATAATGATTTGAAATATGCTATTCTACTATTATCCTTATATTCTTATGATGCTATATCCCTTTTTGGTAATAGAGAAGAAATTTTGTTTATACTAAATAATCTATTTTACCAAAAAATAAAAATAAAAATAATTGGAAGCAAGCTGCAGGATGATTACACTCAGAATAAAATAATGAAGCATTTCATTTATTCATAGGGAAGCAATAGGTTATTTATATTAAAAATGCTCTCTCCTAGAATACATTTCTAAAGCAGATATGCAGATTCCCTTAATTTGATTCCTAGCTTATTTTTGCCCCAAACTACTAACATTTTACCAGAAATTAAATTGGTTCATTTTTTCCTGCTTCCATCCAGAGAGGGAAAACAACTTTCTATAAATGCTGTAAAATATAGTCAAAAGTACAGAACAATGACTGTTCTTAAATATTCATTGAAAAGAGAAAAGCTGTGTTTGCAGAAAAAAATCCTTTCTTGACTCTAATATGCTTTTAGCATAATTGAGAAATGAATATTGATCATGAGGAAAACGTTATGATCTGAGAGGTGTAGAGAACATTCTAATTTTAATGTTAATGTTATTAAAAGTACTTCCAAGAATATCATATATCACTAGATCTCATTGATATAGTTACATGTACCTGGCCAAACATATGGCTTGTGTTGCATTAACATCATGCATCCTACCATTCCGATTTAAATCAAGAATATATTGTCATTGTAGTATTAAATTCAGTTTGAAATAGAGTGTGACATTTGGAAACTCAGTTAATTTTTAAAGTTAACATCAACCCCAAACTGCATAAACAGTCTTGACAATTTTGAAGTCTCTATATGGTCTTTAACAAATACTTTAAAAACAAAGTCTTTTAAAAAAAGGTGTGTTTAATGTCTTTAACTTATATCTCTGTATTGATGGCATTTTCAAGGCTCTCAGAGGCAAAGCACACAAATTCACATCCAGTCAATGTTTTTTGTATAGAGTAGGAAAAGCAAACTTGCGTTAGAGCAAAATAAGCAAACTTGTTTTATTGTTATAATTTTTTATCTAACATGTAATAAGATTTTATTTCATAAATAATAATTTGCTAACCCAAAATTTCAAATACTGCCTTGTAATAAACATTCTCCAGAACTTCTGCTATATATGTCATCAACCAAGGGAAACTTTTCTCTTCCTTGGTATTTAACAAAGCCAGCCTCCTACTTGCCTTAAATTTACAGCTATTTAATGCTTTAAAGGATTGAAATAGACTCTCTGCACTGATAACTAAAGCTCCAGTGACATATGAGAAGGCAGTCAATTGAAGTAACCACCATCTATGATTATTCTTTTGCGTACACATTTCTATACATTGTCTTTTATGCACATGTGCTTTATTATTGGCTAAGAAGAACAGTGATTCTAAAATATTGGAGCTATAATACTATATATTTTAGGGTCCTCAGTGTTGTGACACTCCCACTTGATCCTTGCAGTCTTTTGCCATCTCGTCCTGTAAAGGTGCTAGGCTAGACTGACCTTTTCTTCTCTTCATCCCACTCCTGTGCACTTTCAAATGTATTATGTTGAATATTTTTAACTTGTCTGTATATACATATGTGCATAGATTTTAATATATGTACATAACTATCTTTATAATACCTAACTACTTGCATTGCATATATTAACATTTTAATGTATGCATAAATATGTATATAAATATGTATACATACAGATATATACATGTATATACATACATATAAAATAAAGTTCTATATTTTTTATATCTAGAATATACTAGCTTTGTTTTACAAATAATATTTTATTCTCTCTGTGTAAATTATATTTTCTTTACTACTGATAGGTACTCAAAAATGCTGATATAGATCCATATGTATATATGTTAGTATTCGTTTACATATACATCCATAGAATATATCTCATATTTAAAATATACAGGTAGGTGTATGTACTATGTGCCTTTTATGAAAGTATCACAAAACAAGAGTGCCCACATTTTTATGAATGTGTGTCCATTACAATTAAGTCTGTCTTGAGAATTTTGTTATACTATTTTTATCCCTTAAATTAACTAGAGATATGGTGTGAAATATTGTAAAACAAAGGGCGGTGGCTAATGATACTAAACGTTAGAATCCTTGCTAGAGCAGCAAGCAGGAGACTGCAGGTTTTCACTAGCCTCGGGAGCCACATGTGGTACAGAACGTGCCTGAGGGCTAAGTGTCTGGGTGCTGGGATCCTGCCCTTAGAGATATTTGCTGTATTACGTGAAAATCAGCATGTGATTTCCGGCTGCTATAATAGAGGGCCATGGTAATGACTTGAGTTCCTCCCAAGGCTTTTTGCCAACCTCCTGTTATTTGGGGTGCTGTGTACTAAAAAGACTCTGTCATTATGTTCTTTCTCAGCAGGACTAAAAAACAGCTCTGTCCCTTCTCAAATCAGTTTTCATTCCATTTGGATATGTAGAATTAATATAACCATAATAATAGGTAAGAAAATGGAAAATTATAGAGTCCAGAAATGAATTCTAGAATGCACTTCTAGCATAATAATGTTGGCCTGGATGGTGGGTGGGGGGCATGTCCATCATTGCTTATGCGGCATTTCTCCCCAAAGCGGACTGATCTGGGGAGGCAGCACAGAACAGTGATTTGGAGACTAGAGATCTATGCATTTGTTCTTCATTCATTCTTAATTTGTTTATTCAACTATCATTTCCTGAGTGCCTACTCTGTGCCACTCTGTCAGGCTCTGTAGATAAAATAGTAAACAAAGTAGACACTATCCTACCATTCTGGAGCTCATGGCCTTTAATGGTATATAATATTTAGCAAATATATCATTATATACACAGAATTATGCTATCATAAGTCACAATTTGGAAGTGGAACAAAGTTCTATGGAGTGCTGCAAATTCCACAGTGAATGTATATGAGGACACAGAGGAACCACAGGGAAGTAAGAGAGCACAATTCTTTCTCTTTCTTTTTTTTAATAAAGATACTGCACCTCTTTAGGCCTGGATTTTTTCTTTTGTCAAATGAGGATAAAAGTAGTACCTACCTCATAGGATTGTGGTGAGGAGTGGTTAACATAATACATGAGAAGCACTTAGCACAGTGCTTACATATAATACAAGCTCAATACATATTTGTGAAATAAATGAGTAATAAGCCCCTAAAATGTTGACAATTATTAAGCTAGTCCTTAATTCATTATGCCTGATTTTCTGGGAAGAGAAGAGAGGTGAGTCTGTGAGGACTTCACGGAGGTAGTGATACTTAGGCTGAATTGAGTTGAATCTCGGAAAAATGTGTGTTTATCAAGTGGGCAAAGAGAAATTTGCTTTGGAGATAAAAATAACAAAAAAAACCACATGTAACACTCTGATGCCTCTGTGGAACTGCTCATGGTTCTGTGTGCCCACCGTGGAGAGGTGAGTGGGGATTGGTCACAGTGGGCCTGGCGGGCCTTGATGAGCATTGAGTCAGCAGCAAGGAGTCACCACAGGATTGGGGTGTCTGCTCTGACACCCTCTATGTGTTTGGCTTCATGGTCATTAAACCCTCACGGGCCTCAGATTCTCTGTTTTCTAAGAAAATTGGTTTTCTCTAAATGGACCTTCCTAGCTCTGCCAATATCAGTATTTGGTGACTCCATCGACTGACACCCATGAGTCAGTGGGAATCACTTTGGAAAGGATGTGTGCTTAGAGATAGATAATCCTAAATTTGAACTTGCTAGCTCCATGTGACCTCGCCTGTTAACCTCTTTAAGACCATTTGTGGCCTCTCTAAAACGTGGGATGATAAAATCATATTGTAGGGAAATATAATGAGAATTGAAAATACCTGAAGAATCTAGCATGTAACGTAGAACACAGAAATTTTTCAATTAAAAAAAAGGGTATTTATAATTACTAGTAATATCCAAATTATCCATAAAATTAATTATTACTGTGGCCTTTTACTTGAACCTTCTTGCGTGTCCCCTGAATTTTCTGATGTCTTACTTACAATGATGAAGGTTTGACCGGGCAGTTGTCCAGAAACATTTGGCACAACACCACGTGATGATGGGGTGACATTTTGTCCTTCAGGGTTCTCAGAGATTTACGACGGTGCACACCAAAACAAAATCATACAAGATGGAATTGTGCTGATGAAGTAGCAGTGCCATAAACTTGTGCAGAGGCAGGTGATATTAGATTTTCTCAGTAATATTTTGCTAGAACAATTGCACTTGAAGTATTTAGCCAAAATCTGTAAATCTTCACTAATAGTACCTTTGAAGCTCCTCCAGAAACAGCAGTTTGCAGCATCTTGAGAGCAGAGGACTTATTTGTCCAAGAAGTAGGGTTGTCCTAGGCTGAAATTTCAGGCTCAGCTTATGCCCAGCCAGAAAGATCTCACAGCTTTTTTTTTTTTAACTCCGTGGCTGCTTCTGCTGGTTCCTTTTATAAAGAAAGCCCCTTACCAAGAAAGAATAATAAAACTTCTTCGTCTCCGGAAAACACCAGCAGTCCCCAGGC